TCAAATACCTCATACCCCAAAAAATCCTCATGAATGTCTCCATTATCATAGGATATCGACGTTATATTCACAACAGCCGGTGTATCAAAAGGGAACACTCCCTCAACAAATTTCACATCACGAGAGACAAAATAAACTTTCGACTCAAGGTCATACACTTTCCATCCTTTCTTCCCAAAGGGATATCCCACAAAAACACATTTCCTACTCCGACTTGCAAATTTATCACCATTTGTTTTTTGATTATGGGCATAACACAAACATCCGAAAGTGCAAATTGCATAAAAAGAAAGTGTTTTATTGAAAAGAATTTCGAAGGGAGTTTTATTTTAGAGCAAGGGTGTGGGTGTACGGTTAATAAGATGAGCAGCAGCAAGAACACACTCACCCCAAAAATAAATAGGTAAATCAGCTTGAAATCTCAAAGCTCTCCCAACGTTAAGAATGTTTTTGCGCTCAACCCTCCTATTTTATTGTGGAGTTCCGACACAAGAGGTTTGGAAAATGATACCCGAAGCAACAAAATAATCATGCAAGCAATTAAACTCAGTACCATTATCACTTTGCACAATTTTACTAGTTTGTGAAAATTTTCTATCAACCATTGCAACAAAAGCCATAAACATTCTAAAAACTTCGGTTTTATCAACCAACAAATAAATCCAAACTACTCTAGAATAATCATCAACGATAGTCTAAAAATAACGAGCTCCACACGATGAAACATGTTGATATGGACCCCACAAATCACAATGTATTTTCTCAAAAATTCTAGAAGCCCTACTATCACTTAAAGGAAATTTATCTCTAGCATAATTAGCACGCATACATACTTCACACCCCTTATCTAGACAATCTTTATTGCTACTAACATGAGGAAGTAACTTAACTACTTTCTCGAAAGGATGACCCATTCGACGATGCCACAACTCCAAATTTGAGGTCGCTTCACCAACGCCAACATAATGCACTGAATCCGTCTCTCCTATCTCCCGTTCCAATCAACTCCTTCGTTTGGTCTTGAATAGCACACATATAAGGGTTAAATTAGACAATGCAGTTAAGCTCATCGGTAAGTTGTGACACAGAAAGTAAATTACAACTCAAATAAGGAACATAAAGAACCCCTGTGAGAGTGATTTTGTTCGAAAAACGAACAGATCCAATCAAAGAAGCCACGACAGTATCACCATTAGGTAAACCAACAGGACATTTAAAATTCTGAGTATCAATCAACCAAGATTTTTCTCCAGTAACATGATGGGTTGCTCCAGTGTCTATAATCCAAGAAGTAACATCAAACTTACCATTCAAACGATTTGCAGGAACATTTGCATTACCAAACAAACCCGTGATAGCCTTCCATTGTTCACTTGAGAGCACTTGTCCTTGAGAAGAGGAGCTTTTGGTAGGAGCATTAGAACCCGAAACAGCATTGGCTCTCACCAAACCTTGACCACGACCAGTCGAATATTTCCCTCCCTAGCTGCCATCTCTTGGGGGAGGTCTTCCATGTAGATCAAAGCATTTTTCCTCCACATGGCCACGCTTCTTGCAATAATTACAAGTTTTATCCAACCAACAACTCGAGGTCTCATGACCCACCATCCTGCACTTAGCACACACTGAACCATGCCCCGCTCGACCATGATCTGTATTCTCATAGCCACGAGCTATTGTTGTACGGACAGCAAAGCCAATCGCCTAGAAAGGCTTTTGTTCTTGCTCCTGCTTTGCTGCTCGTACTCTTTCCTCCTGCACAACCAACTGATATGCACGGTCTAGGCTAAGGAGAGGATCTTGAGACAATATATTAAAACTCAAGGAAGCATAAAAATTAGAGTACAAGCCCATTAAAAAATCATGTAATTTCAATTTCTCTCGCCTAGCTTCATCTAATTGACTGGCAACACACTTTAAACAACAAGAACATGAAATTAATGGCTCATGGTGATCCAACTCTTGCCACAAGGAATGCAATTTGCCATAATAAACCGAGACAAGCATAGTACGAGTTTGTTCACACTTAGCAATCGAAGATCTTAATTGCTGAATTCTAGGGCCATTGGTTTGAGCAAATCGTTTCTTGAGATGCTCCCATAATAACCTAGCTTCACGAAATTTAGAAAGGGAAGATCGTACCTCTGGATCAATAGTATTGGTAATCCAAGAAATCAACATCGCACTAAGGGTCGTCCAATCTAACTGTGTACATGGCGAAACAAGGGCGTTAATAGTACCGTCTAAGAACACAAATTTACGTCTAGCCTCCAACGCAATTTGCATATCAGCAGCCCAATCATCGTAATTGTTAGATTTTAATCGAGAAGGGGTAATGAAATCCCCGGGTTGATCTTGTGACCCAAGTAAAAAGGAGAATTCGGTTTAATTTTGGTTGGAGGAGGTGGCGGAGGTGGTGGTGCATCATCTCCGGTCATGTTTGTGGGTTAAAAAAATGAAAGAAATTCAACCTGCTCTTGATACCATGTCAAATATCATGCTAAATTGAATAAACACAATAGCTTGATTCTCATTGATGGCTCCAATCACACATATATAATACAAGCTTACCCTAATATGATAAAATTAGGAAACTAACCAAAGATAACCCAAAAGGTATTCTAGCCATAAAATATAGTCACAAAATATATCCTATGATTTCCGAAATATATCCTCAATAATTATTCATATCTTATACATCATTTATTAGTATAAAATTTTAAAAATTGATATTTAAAGGTACATATGATTAGGGCCGTAGCAAGGCCAGGGCAGGTGGGGCGACCCCCCTGGGCCCCCAAACCAAAAGCCCATCTTCAGATTTAATAAAGACCCCAAAATAATTATTTATAAAAAAATAACAAAAAATAAAAGAAAAAAAAGGAAGAAACGTATTATAGCAATTAGCAAAACATTGAGTTTCAGAAGAATTTCAAACGCCAATTTCGCTGTTCAACCTCCTTCCTCCCTAATTTTTCTCCCAAAATATTCACTTTCCTAAGTGAATTTTGATTAACCCAAAAAAAAAAACTGTCATTAATTCAATTTTATCCCCTTTTGTCGGTGATTTTGTTCTTCAAAATGTATCTCAATTCAATTTTCAGTCAAATTAATTCCTTCTCTTTCGTGATTATGATAAACGGTAATTTTATCCTTCAATTATCAATGGGAATTTATCTAATTATATATAATCCTCTTTGTATATTCTACTTTATTCATCAAAATCTTTTCTTTCTATTAAGATTTCATAATCTTTACAATTTCTTTCAATCAAGAATTATAAAATTGGGGGAAAAAATTATCTAATTCATTGATTGAATTGGTTCGTTTGATAACTTTGATTGTTCTAATTGGAGTAATTTCTTATTTCCTTGATTTGCTACGGCCCTGATTGCTTGATTTGCTTTGAGTCCTTTGACCGTCGATGAGAGCTACAGCCTACGGGACCATCATTTCATCAAAATGCTAGATTGCTAGTATGCTAAGGTTAATTCTTATTTAACTTTTTAATTTTATACTTTTTCATTCCTAAATAATCATAATGTAATTATGTAATTGTATTTTTATTTGGTTAATTTTAATTGTTTCAGTCCTTCGACCGTCGACGAGAGCGAAAAATTTTTGTTTCAATTGTTTCCTATTTTTCAGATTTGATTACTTGAGATGACATTTGTTTGGAGTGCAAAATGAGCGTACTAAGTCTTTTGTTCAATTACTTCAATAATCAGGTGTTTTTATTCTTTTCTATATACTTATTAATTTATTATTGGCATTGTTTGATAGAATGTTTCCTAGAAAATATTTATCTGGTAATGATAAGAGGAAAAAAAGAAAACGGGCAGAAGAGTTAATAGAATCTCAAAAGGGTGCCATTGACAAATTTTTTACTAAAGTAGTACAAGTAGAAGAGTCTTCTAATGAATTGGGTGAAGATGAAAATCATGAACAATTAATGAGAATATAAATAATGAAAATCGTGATAATGAGGCAAATGAGCCTAATGAGGATGCGACTAATATGAATGAACCAGCGAATGTACCAAATACATCTGATGTTAATGATGTTGGCATTGATCAAGTAGTTCCTCCTTTAGATATTTATGATCCTAAAAATTGGGGTAATCTTGACATTAAAGGAAGGGATATTTTGATATAAAAAGGTTCTATTAGAGATTTGAACCTTGTGTTTCCAATTGATGACAAATTAAGGCATTATTCATATGCCTATTATACTAAGAAGTTGAGTAATGGTGAGACTTTTGATAGAAAATGGTTGGTTTACAAAAATTAGCTGATAAAGTATATTGTTTTTGTTGTAAATTGTTCACATCTCAAATTAGAATATCTTGGTGAATGATTGGAAATATCTTGGTGAGAAACTCAAATTACATGAGAATAGTGTTGAGCATATGACTAATATGAACACTTGGTATGAAACAAGAGTGAGATTAGAATTGAATAAAGGCATTGATAAAGACTTGCAAGAGTCAATTTCAAAGGAAAAAAAGCGTTGGAGGCAAGTCTTAATTCGAATTGTTTCTGTTGTGAAATGTCTAGCTAAAAATAATTTAGCTTTTCATGGATCTAGTGGAAAACTTTATGATGATAGTAATGGTAATTTTTTGGGCTTAATTGAAATGATAGCTGAATTTGATTTGGCAATGCAAGATCATGTTAGACGTATTCAAAGCCAAGAAATTCACAAACATTACCTTGGTCCTCAAATTCAAAATGAGCTTATTTATCTTTTATCTCATGGTGTTCGGACTTCAATGATAAAAATAATAAAAGAGTCAAAATATTTTTCTGTAATCCTTGATTGTACCCCTGATGTGAGCCATCAAGAACAAATGACTTTGATAGTAAGATGTGTGAATGTATCAAGTGATAAAATCAAGATAGAAGAGTTTTTTTTAGAATTCTTAAGAGTAGATGATACTTCTGGTTTGAGACTTTTTAATTAATTTTTAGATGTATATAAGTCCCTTGATTTGGATATTGATGATGTAAGGGGGCAAGGTATGGCTCTAATATGAAAGAGAAACACCAAGGGGTTCAAAAGAGATTGCTTGAAATTAATCCAAGGGCTTTATATATGCCATGTGCTTGTCATAGTCTTAATCTCACTCTTTCTGATATGGCACATTCTTGTGTTAAAGGTATTTCTTTTTTTGGAATTGTACAACGTATATACATATTATTTGCACATTCCACTAAAAGGTGGAAGATTTTAGTTGACAATGTCCTGAGTTTAACTGTTAAATCTTTGTGCAATACTAGATGGGAGAGTCGAATTAAGAGTGTTAAAGCTATAAGGTTTCAATCTCCTCAAATTAGATTAGCTTTGTTGGAATTGTATAATTCTAGTGGTGATGACGCTAATATTGCTAAAACAAAAAGTGAAGCCGAAAGTTTGGCTAATTCTCTTGCAAGTTTTGAGTTTTTACTTGGCATGGTAATTTGGTATGACATTTTATTTGCTATTAACATTGTGAGTAAAAAGTTGCAATCTAAATCCATGAGTATTGGAGTTGTAATGAATGAAGTGCAAGGTATGATCACATATTTTGAGAAATATAGAATTTAAGGATTTGAATCTAGTTTGAATACTGCCAAAATCCTTGCACTTGATACGGATATAGAGCCAACATTTCCAATAAAGCATCGCATCACTAGAAAAAGACAATTTGATGAGAATGAGAATGACGATAATGATGAGGAAATACAATCATCCGAGGAATCTTTTAGAGTCAATTATTTTTTGGTGGTTGTTGATATTGCAATAGCTTCTTTGAAAATTAGATTTGAGCAATTGGAGGTATTTGATAACATTTTTGGTTTTTTATTCAATGCAAAAAGGTTGAAATCATTGGATAATGACGATTTAAGAAAATCTTGCACAAGTTTTATGACTACTATTACTCATAATAATTTTTCGGATGTTGATGCAGATGATCTTTTTTTTTAAATTGAAAGTGTTGCAAATGACTTTGCCAAATGATTTGATGTCAGCATTTGAAATCCTTGAGTTTGTCAAAGCTGCAGATTGTTATCCAAATGTTTCTATTGCCTATCGAATCCTATTAACTATGTCGGTGACAGTTCCATCTGCTGAAAGAAGTTTTTCAAAGTTAAAATTACTAAATACCTACTTGAGATCTTCAATGTCACAAGAAAGGTTGAATGGTCTAGCTACTTTATGTATTGAGAAAAATATGTTATAACATATTAATGTAGAAACTATTATTAGTGACTTTGCATCTAGAAAGGCTCGTAGAAATATTTTCATATGAACGTTTAGGCTTTGATTTCAATGTTTTATCTATATGAAATTTGATGTTTTTAAAGATTATTATGCGTAATAAAATATGTATTTTTTTGCCTACCTAATTTTTATTTTATTTTAAAGTATTATATGTGAATTAGGGCCCCCAATTTGTGTCTTCGTCCCAGGCCACCGAAATTTCTGAAACGGCCCTGCATATGATAAGAAAAACCTAGCAAGATAACTCTAATTATTTCTTATAAAAACAGAAAAAAGATAGATCTGATTATATTATATTCTTCAATCCATATAAATCACAAAACTAAAGAAGGTCAAATAATGATCGGAATATGTAAAACATTGTAAAAGTATGTTGCAAAAAAATATACTACGTATATATATGAAGTATTATTTAAGCTCTTAGCATTTTATAATTTGTAAATATTATGTTATCATTTTGATTTCCTTGATATTAATGTAGATTGGAAAATAAAAATAAAAAAAATTTGAGTCATTGATATAGTTCAGAGTTCAGACGTCTCGGCACCTAGAAGGCTAGAATTACTTCTATTCGGTACTTTGAAGTCTATCCAAAGTTTAGCATAGCAACGAGAAGAATATTTCGTAGGAGACATGTAAATTTACAAACTGATCATGTTACTTATTAAGATTTTTTTGTTTTGTGAAATTATCTTATCTCGCTTGGTCACTTCAACTAGAGAGCAAAAATATAGTAGACTAGTAGTGTTGCTGTAGATTGGCATAAAACTTAACTCTATCTTTAGAATTAGGGGTGGCAAACGGATCAGGTCAGGTCGGGTTCGTGTTCGGGTTTTCGGGTTTCGGGTCAGCTAACCCCCAACCTGAACCTGATCCATTTAAGTTTTTGGGTTGAAAACCCCAACCTGAACCTGATATTTTCAGGTTCGGGTCATCCTGAAAACGACCTGATTTGACATGATTTTTTATTTATTTTTTTTTTTACTTGAATAACCTGATTTTTTAGCCTGATTGACTACTTAACCGTTAATAAAACCTGATTTTTTTTTTTACCTAATGTCTTCAAACTTAATTTTCAAACTTAAATTTTCAATAAAAACCAAATAAAGTATAAGAAGTCTAAATGCCTAATTAACTATTACATACCAAAATAAAGTCTTAACAAATTACAAACCATAATTAAAAAGAAACAAATGTATTTAAAGTTACAATCTCCTGAATCTTCTCATATTCCCAGAAGAAAGCTGTTGTACAAGGGGATGATGGGTGTCCATAACTGCTGCAAAAAAATATAACAAAATAAAACAATTAAAAAGACAACTCAAGAACAACCAAATTAGCAAGAACAACAAATTAGCAACATCTCAGGAAAAACAACCAAAACAGCAAGAACAAATCAGTAAGAAAGCAATAAAAATTAGCAAGAAATCAACAACAAATCAGCAAAAAATCAAGAACAACAAATCACCAACAAATCAGAAAAAAACAAAAATAAAAAAGACATGCACTATACTTTTTCTCGTCAAACAACAAATCAACAAAAAATTTATCATATTACAATTATTAACCAAGAACATCAACACAATCGAATACAAAAACTGAAATAAAAAAAAAATTTAAAAAAAAAAACAACGAAAAAGTAAAACAGAAAATTACCTTAGAAGTAGAGGAAGATTTGAAGATGAAGGTGAAAGATTTGAAGATGGAGAATTGCAGATCAACCGAAAAGTGTAGTTGAGGATATGAACAACAAATCAACAACAGAAAATGTTAATCTTAATATCTGATTTGCAAATGTTAGAAAAAGAAAACAGAAATATAAATTAAACAACAAGTCAACAACAAATCTATCGATCTACGGATCTACCCTTTCCCATAAAAAAAACAAATCAAAAATAGAAATTAAGAACAAAAATCTTAGGCATATTAAGATGACGGCTTGGAGGAGAAGTTGGAGAACTGGAGATCATTCAAAAAAATCGAATATAGAGAACTTGAGATCGAAAAAAACAACCGAAACGAAAACAAAAACAATTAACTAAAAGTTAAAAATTACCTTTGATCTATTAAGAGCTGAGACGTTAAGCTTGATTGCTTGAACCGATTTAGGGTTAGGGTTTTGAGGAGAAACAGAGAAATTGAGAATGAAATTTTTTAAGAGAGGGAAATGTGAAAACGGCTGAGATGAGATAAGAGGCTGAGAGAATGAGAGTAAGAGTGAGTGTTAGGGTTTCAAGCTCAATATAAGGCACTTACGGTTTTTGTTTAAAGATTTGGGCTTGGGGTTTGGGGCCTTGGCCTAGTAGTAGTTTTAGTTTCTTTTTTATTTTTTATTTTTTTTTGTAAGACTTTTTTTTAAGGTTGGGTTCGGATTGACCCGACCTGAACCCGACCTGATTTTGACCCGAAAATAATTTCGGGTTAAGTGGGTAATTTTCGGGTTGAGATTTTCAACCTTAACCTAACCTATTTAATTTCGGGTCGGGTTCGTGTCAACCCATTTAAGTTTTCGGGTCGAAAATCTCAACCCAAACCCGCTATTTTCAGGTCGGGTTCGGGTCGGGTTTTCGGGTCGGGTCAGTTTTTGTCACCCCTATTTAGAATAACCTAGTTTAGTTCCCGTACGATACACTATTTTGGGGCTATTTTGTCTATTAAGGATACAAATTGAGCTCATATTTGACAAAAAATAAACGTAAATACCTCAATTTACGTTTTAAAAAATGCCTCGTTTTAATTCAAAGTTAGCTCACTAGTAGCTGAAATATATCTGAGCTCGAGCTCAAGCCAATCTAGATTATCAATTTAACAAGCTTTAGAAAGCGAACCTTGATAAATGGGTAAGATTAAATTTTAATGAATGAAGGGGATATGAGTTTAAATATTCAGAGTCAAGACTCAATAATATTTGTATAAGTTAAGATTTTTGGGAAAAAAAGGAAGGAAAGTGAATATAGGGTTTTTCTACACAGTAATCCTCTTAATTTTACTTTTCTACATTGTACCCCTTAATTAGCGAGTTACAAATTATAACTTATCAATCATAAAGTAACATTGCCGTTATCCCACTGTTAACATATTCTGTTAATGGGGTTCACTCTTCACTTATTAATATTTTTTATCGATTTGTGTGTTGGAAAATGTTCCGTTAAAGGTTTTGGAGGCCATTTATGTCTTTATAAGATCTAAGTTGAGCTCAAATTTGACAAAAAAAAGTAAATGCCTCGTTTTGCGTATTAAAAACGTAAATACGCAAATTGAGACATTTCTTAATAAATTGGATATACGATACGCACAAATATGGAAACGAGTAAGAAATTTTGAAATTCGCACACGGTAAATAGTTCAACAATAATCTTATACCTTCCATGAATTAAACTTCTGTGTATCGTTTGCACAAATTAAAGAGAGCAGCACTAACCACTCTAATAAACATAGATAAGCTTGCCTAATTAACATTAATTCTTGACCTAACATCTCTGATAAAACATACAGTATAAACCTTAGATAAGTTAATTTTATTTTTTTTTTTCTTTTCCAATTGATTTATTCAAAAATAAACAAGTGTCCAAGCTGGCCAACCTGAGAGAACAAACAAATGTTCCGAAAAAACCTATACAATCAAATACTCCTCGTCATTTTTTGGTAAATTAAAATTAAATATCTATTGACCATCTCCAATGGTGAGATTTGAGAGAGTTTTTTTTAGAAGAGAGAGTATTTTTTGTAAAGGATACCAATACATTGGTATTTAAATTTAGCAAATCCAAAAGAAAGTTACTAACTTTAGATACTCAACTTTGAATTTCATTTGACAAAAAGTGTGGGCCCTTTATCAATATTATAATATATTTTGTAATTTTTTTTTTTATTTTTTTTTTATTTTTGAAAAACTTACAATATGGATTTGGTGGGCCATAAATTGAAAGTGATATTAGTATACTTTAGAGACTCCACCATTGGGAAATTAGACTTCACATGAGTTGCTAAATTGATAAGTAAGTTGGGTATTACTATTGGAAGTAAAAAACAATTCATTTTGTATTTCAATACTCAAAGTTGAGTCTCACCAATGGAATTGGTCTTAGCATTTTAAGGTTGTACTATTTGAGAATATTCTCCACTTTTTAATGAGTTGTCAATATGTCATCACTTTTTTGTACTAAAACCATCTCCAATGGTGAGATTTGAGGGAGTTTTTTTTTTGGAGAGAGAGAGAGTATTTTTTACAAAGTATTCTAATAAGTTGGTATCTAAACTTGGCAATTCTAAAAGAAAGCTGTTAAGTTTAGATACCCAACTTTGAGTCTCATTTGACAAAAAGTGTGGGCCCTTATCAATATTATAAATATATTTTGTAATTTATTTAAGTTTTGATTTTTATTTTATTTTTTTTTGTTTTGAAAAAACTTAGAATTAATATACTTTAGAAAGTCTCATCATTGGGAATTTAGATTTCACATGTGTTACTAAATTGAGAAGTGGGTATGGTCTAATAACGCAAAATACATGTTGATCTTCTTGATCAATTTAGTTTGTCAATCAAGGGGGTAAAATAGACATTTCCATCATTAAACCGGGGACAATATGGTAATATCCCATGCTGTAACTCATCCTCTTTGCCACTTATGCAATTGACGTGTGATTGATGTTGAAAGGGTACGTTACGGCACAATTTTGCCGTCATAAAACTTGCTTCTACATGTGCCATAAATGCATCCACCCATTTTTTTTTTTTTTTTAATTTATGTGTGTAATGAAATGCCAACTACCCTTGTAAATATTGAATATTAATAATTTTTCACAATTAATGTATTGAGAAGTATGGACAAAAAATCTATTGAATATTAACTTTTTTTAATTTGTTTTAACTTCGGTATAATAAGGTTTAATACCAACTATTTATAATACCACTTTGTATTAATACGTAATTAAATAATTCCACATTACCCTATAAGG